AGGAGATTTGCTCTCATTTGAATTTTTGATCATTTAAAAGATACCTGATACTTTTGGGTTAGCTATGAGAAAAGGCTGTGTTCTTCAGAAAATAATCTACACCAAAAGGTACTTAAAATGATGAGCTGGGCGAACACTCCCTGTTCAAGCATACTGAACGCTCTGGTGTAGTTTTGTGGCTTGACACTAGGTCTGCATCCGGGCTCAGAAATTCTTGTGCCTAGTGTCAGTTCCTGCCTGATTACCTCCCCAGCCATGTTTACCTATTTGTTGCACCGAACATGATTTCTTTGAAGAATTCATGTATAAATCACTGCTCATTCACGAAGACTTCCCGTCTCCTGCCGCAAGCTGCCTGCATTTGGGCAATTTCTTCTGAACTCTTTTCTCTTGGTCACCTTGATGTTATTATATCCTCCCAACAGTAAAATATAGTTTGCAATTCTTCAAATTGTAAAGTATCTAGAAAATAACCATCATTGCTGAATAATGTGAAGACAAAAAGTAAAGCTGATAGCTTTTTTTTTTCTTAAGTGATACATTTTTAGTTGAGCAAGAAACGGAGCGAGTGTGCTTCTATGCACTGGATTCCTCCTCAAATGCTTGCACTTAATTGCTGGAGATGGGCAAGGCAAGAAACTCAATCCATACCTCCCTCATAGGTGGTTGAGACCTAACTGGTGGAGCTATCACCTGCCGTGTCCCAGGGTCTGCCTTATCAGGATGCTGAGGCTAGCATTTAGATCAGAGAATCAAACCAGACAGTGCAGTATGGAACCCCTATGCCAAACGCCTGCCCCTAAAGATAGCTCATTTTTCTCAGTAATATGACTGCATGGGAAAATATCCGCAATGTATTACTACATGAAAAGCCCTATCTACCAACCCAAGGCATCATCATATTACCCTTTTTACAAATAACAAACATCAAATTTTGTCTCAGTAATGGAATAGTAGTTGACTTTTTTCTTTCATTAAAACTTTCTGACTTTTCTTCAGCTTCCCACTACTAGGCATGTGTAATTCAGAAACATGATAATATTTTATAGAAAACACTTCATGTCCCAAGCTTTGTTCATGCAGGACTTTTATTCTCACACTCATGGTAATGTGCACGATCCCTGGCACCAGCGAGGCTGTCTCCCTCTACCAGATCTGTTTGTGAATAGAAATTACACATACTAAGCCTATAGTAAAAATGGTTGAGATTAATTTAGTGACTTTCCATCAAGAGGAATTTCAGCTGTGTGGCCGAAGAACATGCCTAGAATCAAGCTACCTACTGAACATTTTGTAAACAAACAGAAATGTTTGCTTGAATTTTATACAAAGTGTAACACCCATGGAAAACAAGATATCTCTTTTTTTAACCGGTTAGTTTCCATTCCCAAGTGACAGTTTTGAGTTTAAGTCTAAACTTCTTAGTACCCTCAAACTAAGAAGGAGGAGGTGATATGAGCTTTGGTGATCTAGCCAGCAAATATGGTTGGAGACAAGCCTTGCCCCATCATGCAGAAAATGTTCCTCAAGTAGAAAGGTCCTGTTAGCAAAAGAAGCAAGCAAGAATGCTGGGCAGTGGGCCCAGTGCTATTGCTCAGTGGCTAATCCTCACCTTGCATGTGCCGGAATCCCGTGTAGGCATTGATTTGTGTCCTGGCTGCTCTACTTCCCATCCAGCTCCCTGCTTGTGGCCCGGGAAAGCAGTCAAGGTTAGTCCAAAGCCTTGGGATCGTGCATGCACATGGGAAACCCGGAGGAAACTCCTGGATCCTGGATTCGGGTCAGCTCAGCTCTGGCCATTGGAACCACTTGGAGAGTGAACCAGCAGATGGAAGATCTTTCTCTCTGTCTCTCCTTCTCTCCATAAATCTACCTTTTTTCCCCAATAAAAATAAAATAAAGCTTTATAAAAGAATATTGGGTGGGCAAAAGTATATATCTGCTATGCAGTAAAACAAAATAACTGCTCCACAGACTAATTATGAAAATGCAAATGCTATTATCAATAGAAAATTCTAGAAGCAACTAGTTCACAAAGTTTAAATTGTGCAGCATGCTAAGTAGAATAAAGGAATTAATCATACACCATCCATCTTTCTTTCGATGTGAACGCAGTTGTCCAGTGTATCCTTGCTGCATATGCTACCTGCTTGTGAGCGCTTAGCTATCATTGTCATCACACCTCCAAAGCATGCTCTAAGTTTGATACCATCCATAAGGTTTTGGAGCATATCTGCTGCTGATGCAGGCATGGGAAAGACTACTGTAGCACAGTGTGGGGATCTTGCGCCCTTCTGTCTGTGGGCATTCTGTGGCTGCACCCACACTCAGGTTTTCAACAAGAAAGTTGCTGTGAGCTGATGCTCTTACTTGTAGCTCTGGAGCTGATACAGGGGCAAGGAATTGTTGAAAATGGAGAACAAATGCCACTGTCAAAATGTGTTTTCCACGGCTCTTAATGCTTTTCAGAGTAGGATACTGGATGGCAAGAGCACAATGAAAAAGAGCTTTTCACACTTTTCTCATCAAATGATATTGAATTCTCATCAGGTAGATCTTTGTGTAATGATGGCACTGGCAGAAATCATCCGTTTCGAATTCTCCTGTTTTTGGTCATTGTCCTTGTTTGTGCTTTCCATGGAGCACAACTGCCTATCTTGCAGATCTGCTGGCCTTCTAGGACTCTTGCTTACCATTACATTTTGATCAAATAAAAATAAATAGACAAGACATGGCAACGATGTCATTTGAATAAAAAATACAGAACTCTGTGCTGCTCCTTCAGGCCTGTGGGCTCATGCCTACCATCACCACTATCTATGTTACACTGAAGTAGAAAGGCAATCAGAATTTTGAAAATGTACAAGGTGACACTATCTAGGCCTCTGGCAGCTCACCACATTTTCTGTGTGCTACAAATAGATTGAAGATGCCATTCTTACTTCCGACGCAGTACGTGCTTGGCTATTAAAGCAGAAGCCGTCACAGAAGGACTCTCTCATGCTGACTAATAGAACTCGCAGCAATGCAGTTATGGCTCTTTGTCCTTCTGAAGGGAAGCCCAAATTAGCCAGTGCAACATAATTCATCTGATGTTCCATTTTGAATGGCACCTGTGGATCTCAGAGACTCTCCTCCTGTTGGAAATGCCTTCCAAAGATTTATTTCCAACTGTGTACCCCAGGGATTGTTGAGTCACATGTCCATAGCAAGCATGGGCACACATTAGTTCCTTGCTGGTTGAAATTAACTGGAAAACCTTCACGTCAGACACAAAAGTAAAGAACTCGAAATTGTTGCTTTCTGGAGTCTAAGCAAGTGAGAAGATTCAAAAAGAGAAGGGGCTCTGGAAGAGGAGCCACCTCCCAGAAGTTGCTTCCTTGAAGTTAGTGACACATTTCAGTCTACAACCAACCATCTCACTGGGACAGGGTTGTCATTTTTGTTATTCCTATCGGGCTTGAGTAAGATCTAACCTTTGTCTCTTTTGCTAGCATACACTAGGAAAATTTCTGCATTGACTATGAGCTCTCGCTGTGAAGGCACATTCTCAAATCTATGGCTAATATTAGTGTTGACCATTAAAAAATTGATTCATATACTTATTTATTTTACATTTATTTGAAAGGCAGAGGTTATAAAGATGGAAAGATAATGAGGGAAAGAGCAAGAGAGATTTTCCATCTGTTAGATGATTCACCAAAAAGCCCCCAAATTCTTTTCTGAGCCAGAAGAAATCCTAGAACTCCAAATGGATCTCCCACGTGGGTGCAAGGGCTAAAGTACGTGAACCATCTTCTGCTGCCTTCCCATGTACATCAGCAGGGAGCTTGGTTTGAAGCAGAAGTAGAGTAGAATAGCCAGGACAGAAACACCCATTGTAGAACACCAACCTGATAACAATGGCCCCAGATAGATGTTTTTTTGTTCAGTGGTCCTATACATACCTGTTACTCTCTGGATTTGAAAGAGGAGGAAAATGAACTCCAGAGTAAATGCAGTGACCTGAGAAGGACCCTTCCGAACAGCTCAGGGAATAGACTGTTTAACTTTGTTTGGAGAAACTGGACTTTTGACAGATGAACTTCTTTTCCCTTGGATTCATATTTATCTAACAGAGTTGTGGTTGGGAAGTGATCCAGGATTCACAAGGTCATACAGTGACCTGGTTCACAAAATGTAGACTTCTCCCATCTCACTCTGTGGCTTCTCTTTGTGAGTGGTTGGGTGAGATGCTGGTATCCCCACCTCAAATTGGTCACTCAAAAGTCATATTAACCTCTTAGGCTCAACTCTTGGGGTCATGGCAGTTCCACCAAACCTAGACCTTAATTCCAGATAATAAGATTTGGTGTTTTACATTGCACTTCGTAGCTTAAAAACCATTCCAGAAAAAAAAAAAAAACCCATTCCATATGTGCTTGATTAATGAACATCTTATAATAATGCATTGGAAATGAAGGTCATTCATGAAATCAAAGAAATAACGACACCCTGAATTTTTTAAATACCTTTCTTCACTTTTACAGACTCCCCCATTGTAGTCCTTTGTTCATTACTCCAAGAGTGAAAGGAAAAGGGAATGTTAAATAAATATTCTAAGCCTTATCTTTAGAGCTAAAAAAGATTTTTAAGGATTATCAAGAAATATTTCCTCCTTCTCCCTGGTCCCCTTATTCCCTGGTATATAAATAGTGAAAATGAGACTTTTTTTTCCTTCCTGAAATTCAGCCTTTGTGTTCTGGCATCTGTGGTTTTGTGATTATCCGTGTCATTGTGAATCCACCCTGGAGATTATCTCAACCGACTCTGAACAAGGGCCTTTGTATTGCCTACTCCCTTCACGCTCATTTCTGGGTAGGCCTACTTATCCAGACTTACCTGGGAGCAATTTTGCCCTATAACTCACACAAAGCTCACCCATGTCTCCTTGTTGAAAAAGGCTGAGTGCAAGTGTGTAGCTGTGAGACTCACGATTTTCCCTGTCTTGTGTCTTCCAGAAATTGAGGCAAAGGAGGCATGTGACTGGCTCCGGGCGGCTGGTTTCCCACAGTATGCTCAGCTCTATGAGGGTATGTATGTGCACGCTTCCATTTGCTCTTTGCAAAGAGAACAAGTACAGATGAGCCGCATGCATCCTGCGGTGTGCTTTGATTTCCAGTCTTTGCTCTGCCCTTTGAGTGGCTTGCTTTCTCTCTCGGCCTTTGCAGCATTTACCCTGACATGGATTTAGAAACGAGCGTTACCTCCCAAGCCCATTTCACTTTCTGCTTCCCACCACTAACTTCTCATTTCTCGCTGTTCTTCTTGAAATTACAGTAAATTAGTGCTGTTTCTAGAAGTTATAAGACTAATTGTTTTTGAGATTTATCTTTGGTTTCATTTACTTTATATGAATGATAAAGCACACTGTAGCTCAAATGTTGTTCTTTTGAGTAAAGTGCTTTCATTGCCAGCATTGAACATCCATTTGCGTTGATTCTTTGACAGTTAAGCTTCAGACATAAATTGTATGGTATCTAAAGTTATAATGAAAGTTTTGAACTGCCTTTTGGATGGTCTTTTATGAAGAATGAATTAGGATCCCAAAAGTCAGGAAAGGGCACTTGGAGAGCCCCTGTAGGGTGTGTATTTCTAACAGTATTCATTACAAAGTTGTGTGCAGAACACAGGAACCCATGAGCGACCGTGCACAGGGAAGGAAATCAGAGCTTGAGAAACAGCAGAGCTGTCACCATCCTGAGCTCCAAGGGACAAGTTGGGGCAGAGGCTGCCATGACCTGGAGGAAAGAAGAGCCTTAAAGCAGGTCCCCGGAGGAAGCACACAGCTGGACAGGTTCTCTCATGCAGAGAACCCAGGCAAAAACTCTTTGACCCTCAATTCTCTGCTGCATCTCCAGCCAGGGCCGCCACACCAGCCAAGCATAACAAGGAGGTCAGAGGCTGTGGGTCCTTAGCATGCCATTCATCCTCACAGATTACAAAGCAAAGTGTAGCTGCAAGGGTAATAAAGACATCAAACCCAGGTAGTGGTTCTTATTTCCACCATAATATAGAATGAATCAAGCAAGTTAACCAAGCAAGCTCTCCCAGTTCTATAGCTAAGCAGTAAGAGCCGAAGGTCAGGGTAGCTGGGCTTTGGTGTCTGTTTATTGCTATGGCTCCCACCACCTCACTAGCAGAATGAAAGTCTTTTTTCTGGCACCATCAGGAATACTCACATCACTCTTCCAACAGAAGTGGAAAAGTTATGTATCCAACTCACACTAATATTTTAATACCTGCAAATGGCAAGGTGTAGGCAGAATGAAATGCGTCATGATCCAAAGAAAGAATGGCAGGAGAATGATAATGATAAAGATTCAACATTTTACCTCTGACCATTCGTCTATTACAGCAGTCTCCAGATTTTTACCCACATGAATGAAAGATTTAAAATTAACATCAAGTCCTTAGTATTACCAGTGACACACATAGCTGGCAAGGAGGGTTTGTTCACAGTCAGTCATGATGTTGCATGTTTCTTTTGGGAATAGAATCAGTTGAGTACTCTGCTGACACTCCAAAGTGACTCACATTATTGCTACACAAGAAGATATTTGAACTTTTGGCATTTTTGGAAACATCTTTTTCAAGAAGACAAAAACAAAAACATTACCCTGCCAAACAAAGTAACCACTTTAGATAAAACGTAAAGATGTGAAATCTCTTACCGAGGTCTGCATCAGCCTATGCCTGGGACATGGATGAAAAGGATAAGCTACAAAGACACAGAAACTTAAGTTCTACCCAACCTAAGATCAGCCTCGTGGCTAGTCTCACATTTGAGATTGTACTCTCAAAAGTAGTTATTGTGTGATAAAAATAAAACTGCTGTCTCAAACTTTACCAACCGTGGCAACTGCTGTTAAGATCAGATACTTCTGCATATGTCAAGTTGCTACCAACATGAGCCTTTATCTTTCTCTCTCTTTCAGACTCACAGTTTCCCATCAACATTGTGGCTGTCAAGAATGATCATGATTTTCTTGAAAAGGACCTTGTAGAAACCCTTTGCAGGTAAATCATGTGGTATGTTGTTATTTCTTCCCTTGCTAAATCCCCAGTAGGTATCAATGAATTCAACAATTCAATGTGTATTATTGAATATCTACTGTGTACCAAACTAAGTCATATTCTATGCATGCAACAGTGGGCATAATTAATCCATGTTTTCCTGGGGCTTACCCTGTAGTAGGGAGCTGCAGAAAACAGATTAGGAGAAGATGGAAGGAAGAGATAGAGTACGAGTGAGAGAAAGAAAAAGGGAGAGCAAGTTGTTTCAGTAAATATGAAATGATACATAAAAATAAAACAGGAAAAGACTATTTATTGAATAATCAGGCAACCACTATAGCAGCAGTCAAAAAGAACTCTGAAAAACACATATCACATTTGGTTGTAGTTTTTGCAAAGCCATATGATTATGTCCACAAACTGGAATATATAAAGTCAAGTAATTATGTCAGCAACTGCTATGTGATGGTGTTACAAGGGGAAAATATAAATTTATGAATAGTGCTCTTCCCTTAAAATATGTATAACCTGGACTGGGGAGCCTCATTGAAGAAATGAGACATGAATGCATGACCAGAGAGGTAGCAATTGTTATTTCATTAATGATAAAATATTCAGTGGAATCTATCCCGAAATAATTAATTCAGTTCTCCATGGGATGAGATATATGTCTATAGGAATTCAAAGTTTCCTACTAAATGAGTGATGCCAGGGCTAGATATAAAAATTGATTTTGAAATATGAGTTATCTTACCAAAACCATGCAACTAATTATGGGCTAAAATGCCCTGAAAATCCAGCACTCAGGAGCAGCCTTTGTGGTGCAGTACCTGGGGTCCCCATGTTCCCTCTCAAAGTGCTCAATAGAGTGCTGGCTTCTCCACTTGGGATCCTGCTCCCTGCTCATGCGCATGGGAAGCTATGGATAATGGCTCAAGTGCTTGGGCTACTGACACCCTCATATGATACCAGGATGCAGGCAGGTCATGGCTCCTAGCACCTAGATTCAGCCCATTCCAACCTGGTCTGATGCAGCCATCTGGGGAGCATGCCAGCAGATGGAAGATTTCTCTATCTCTCTCACACACACACAATTTATTTAAAACACCAGTACTTATAACTTTCAGTCCAATGATCTCCTACCACTCTATGCATTTAACATGGGAGAAGTCAAAAGATGGTAGTTTTAAGGAAAAGAGATAAGGACAGCACATGCATAAACATAGGGGAGAGCGATGCATGTTTGAATCATGTCTAAATAATCCTGCCCTCAGCTTGCTGAATCTTCAAGCATGTATATTTTTATGTTCACAAATCACTTGCTGTACTATTCCTGCATCAAAACAAAATAGGCTGGTCCTGAGATATAATTCCTGAATGTTCAAAAAAAATGATAGTGTGAGTTTTTGTCAGTGGGTAGAAGAGCAAAGAATTCGTAAATTCCTCAGTTATAGGAATGGCTTATTTGGAATTCCCTGTAGTGCTGAGTCCAGTCAGAATCATTCAACCAAAAGTCATACTGAATTTTCCATCCTAACTTCAACTAAGTATATTTTTCTTAGTTAGCACTTTTGAAAGAAATAATTTTAATTACTTAATACAGCATATTATGTATCCATTTAATTTCTTATATATAGGAATATATATATGAATTTCCTGTATATTATAGGAATAAATAGGCCAAGCTTAATATATATGTTATATTTATATATAATATATATAATAAAATCCACTGTATTGTGTATTTTCAGTGTAGAACTATTTCAACTGTGAAAAACAGTGATATCAAGATATAGAGTTATCAAGACATCCATTAAGACGTCTGTCTCACATTAGAATACTTGGGTCCAATACCTTGCTCCAGCCCCTGATTCCAACTTCCTGGAGGTAGCAGGTGATAGCTCATGTGGCTTCATCCTGTACTCCCCTCCAGCCATATATAGGTGTTCTGATTTCCCCATGTCTTTATTACTATTTGATATTTTCAGTTCATGTTTTGTTTTTACATGCACTGATACCTGTCTCGTGTTGCTTAATCACAGTTCTTATTTGTATTTTAATGAACATCACTTGGTGTACTTATCCTGCAATCCATCTATCCTCATTTGTAAGGTACTTGTTTGAGAGTTTTTATATGACCAAATATAGGTCCTCCGCCACACATCTGCTTTACAAATATTATCTGCCAGCCTACGATTTGTCTTTTCAGATTTTGAACAGTACCTTTTACAGAACAAAAATGTTAACACTTAAAGCTAGGTTTGTCTAGAAATGCAATAGTAAGAGTTCTCCAACTTTGTTTCTCACCAGAAGTGTTTCAGTTGTTTTAGTTCTTGTGCTTTCCATACACATTTTAAAAACAGTTTATTCATATTTAATTTTTAAATTCTGCTCCCATTTTGACTTGCAGTGTGTTGAAACTATGTAGCCAACTGGGGACAACCAATGTCTCAACGAGTTTCCTCTTCTGATTCACAAACTCAGTATACAAAAGCATCCTGAAAAGCTTGTGGAAATGGAATTAAAAATAAATTTTTGTTGGTACAAATGATTTTTGAAATCCATGCACAGTTTTAAAGTTTAAAACTATGGGGAGTGATAGATTCCCATGGTCTTTTAGAAGTTGCATCTCATGCACAGATTTCAAACTTTGGGGATAACGAAACACAATTCTTTAATTCCATTTTTAACCTCATTTATTTAGGCTTTCTTTGATTTTTTAAAAGATTTCTTAATTTCAAATGGAAAGATAGATTTACAGAGCGAAGGAGAGATAGAGACAAAGATCTTCTGTATACTAGTTCACTCCTCAAGTGGCCACAATGGCCACAGCTGAGCTGATCTGAAGCCAGAAGTCAAGGGCTTCCTCCAGGTCTTCCAGATGGGTGCAGGATCCCAAGGCTTTGGGCCATCCTTGACTGCTTCCCCAGGCCACAGACAGGGAGCTGGATGGGAAGTAAAGCAGCTTGGGAATGAACTGGTGTCCATACAGGATCCTGGCGCATACAAAGCAAAGATTTAGTAACTGAGCCATCGTGGCGGATTCCAAATTGAGGCATGCAAGACAAGGATGAAGCCACTAAGCTTCCATGTCAGACCCACCTTTGACTTTTTTCAACAGTGACTTGTGGTTTTCACTTCAAGGATGGTATATATTTGGTAGTGCTTTAGAATCCATATTTGTGGCACTATTATGAATGTTACTGTGATTTATTTTTAAAGCTTATAAAAACATTTTAACATTTTCCAGTTGTTCATTAATAGTATATAATTTTTGTCTATTTTTCTTTATATCTTGCAATTTTCATTAAATCACTCATTCGTGCTAATGGCTCCATGCACACTTCCCCATCCATATAGGCATTCCCACACCCCGCATGGGGAAGGGCAGCCAAGCTGGACACTACAGTACTCTTGACAAGGGTCCAGATTCTGTAAAAATGGTTAGAGTGGCAGGAGGTTGTTATAATTGGAATAATTCTCAGAGAAGCTATGTCTCTAAAAATATTATGAAGCAAGAAAAACATCTGGCTGGAGGTGTGTGAACTTCAGTTTCTCAGGGTGGAGGAGCCACGGGTAGAACAGGAGCCAGAGGTGTTGCACACCCAGGGTGAAGGAAAGCTCCCGACAGAGGAGGTGGGCAGATGGAGAGGTAGCTCGCCTGAAAAGAAGCAGCAGAGTTTTCCTCCTGTCATTGTGATTCCCACCAGCACACAGATTTTCTGCTCTGCAAATCGTGAAAGGTAGGTAGAAGAGAAATCTCCAGCCTGAAGGGGAATGAAGGAGCTTTAAAAACTCTAAGATTGATGCATGCTTTGGGGGACTCCACCACACTCAGATGATAAGCCACGATTCATTCCAAGAGAGAAGTTAGGGATTGTAATTGTGTTCTTTTCCTTGCCTAAGCCCTGTGCACACAGAGGTGGAGGTGGTCTTCTGTTTTATTTGTAAAGTTTTGTGGCCTTACACACTTCTCATATGTGTTGGACCAGCTGAACTGAAGCAGAATCCTAAATGCAGTCTTAGTCCAAGGGTAGATATCTCCTGCCAGGCAAGTGAAGGAAGACGGGAGTACTGAATTTCACCCACTTTGGGTTTTCTACAAGTGTCTCTCTCTAGTTAGTGTCCTAGATAACTACTCATTCTTGAAGACTGAGCGGTGGTACCTGGTGCAATTGGCTTGGAAATCTGTGTTGCACTAAGGAGGTAGCTGGCAGGAAGGACCCAGATCTGACCCACATATGTAAATGTGTAGCTCTTTTTTTTTTTTGTTTTAATTTTTGTAATTCTCATTTTTGGGCCCCAGAAATGAGACAAATTTACCTGTTAGCTGAAGGTATAAACCTCCAAAAGGACAAAAAAAATTCACTGTAATGCCAGCAATGTTGCCCTGCCTGGTGCAGTCGGCAGTGTAATAAACAGAAAGAACTGTTTCAATCACTTAGCACCATAGTTACAATGATCGTGACTGCGTTCTTAATTGAGAAATATTTTCTCCCCTAAGGCATGAAAAGCTCCTTTGCAAATATGAGTACCTCAGTGAACTCATTGAAATGGTAGCCTGTCAGAAGTTCGTCACCTTTAAAGCAAACTGCAGCAAACCAAAGCTGAGACTCCTTTAAAGGAAAAGCAGTGTGTCTTATTAGCACTTGGATTTGCAGTATTCATTTAGGTTGCTGGTGTCTAGGCTGTGATACGCAAGAAAATCTCTGGCTTTTTAATTTCATATCAAGCTGGTATAGCAGTCACATAGCTTGTGTTGTTAATAAATACTAGCTAATTACAGCACATGTAAGTAAGGACATTCACCGTGCTCGGTATTATTTGGTGGAGCTGTGGAACTGGTTGTAGTTGTATGAGAGTTACTTAAATTTATTTTGGTACAAAACAGTTTTGAAACCTATGCACAGGTTTTTCATAATATTTATTTACCATGAACTTTTTGAAGGCTTCTCCTTATAATATTTCACTGACCTTTGTATTTAAAAGAGCAATAAATGACA